GTACGTACACTCGAGTAGAATACTGATAAGGAAGAAGTCAGAAGTGGCTTGTTTGCTATTGACAAAGCGAACACATACAACTGGACAAATTATTAGTTTGGTGTGTCCTAAATGTCCAACTTCTGCCTCACTTTCAAAAGATCCTAGAAGGCTAAATGTGTTCAAATGGCCAGCAGGAGCTAGAAAAACATAGTGAAAGGTGCAAATGAGGGGCTCACACAAAGCTTCAGTCTTCATCAGTACACCAAAATCAAAACAGAACAATTACTGGGACAAGTGCCTGACACTGTGTGATTAGCAAAGCAGATGTTAATTTACTTGTATTTATTTATTTATTTTGGGGGGGGGGGTTGTACATTTCGGCACCAGGGGGAACAAAAGCATTAGAAACCCTCCTCCCTGAGCTGTTGTTTGTAGTTAAATGCAGTTTGCATAAGACTGGCTCAATAATAGGTTAAAACTCCAGTTGCAGGGCTGGCTGGAGTGTGCCATTAATGTGGTGCAGTACAGCAGGAGCAGCATGCTGTGCAGGTTTGCACTGTGATTTTTTTTTTTTCTTTTGGCAGAGTGTGATTTAGCAGGGCACCACTGTTATGCAACACTAGCTGACTTATCGTAGTCCAAATGACTGTATGAATTGATTAACTTTGTGGCCTGACTGTAATTGGACTGGAAGTGCACTGGGCCGTGCACTGGACACGTGCCCAAATCAATGACTGGAAACGGTTTACATGTACGCTGCTGCTGTTGCTGTTGTTGAAATTTGAGTCCTCATCGAGCCTCACAGCTGCTCAACTGTGCATCAAGAAGCTACCTGCCATTTCTGACCTCCTGATTACTGAAGCATACCTGCCTTCAGTTCGGAAATTAGACTGCCCTGCAAGCTGTGAGGGGGTTGAGGGGACAGCACAGTCAGCAAGGCTTCTTGAGAGACATCCCAGAGAATCCCCTGAGCTTTCCCGTGAGAGTAACAACAAGAAGGTCTTCCTTTGTTGCCGTCTCTGTGTTGTACTGAAGTACCCATGTCCTTTGTACTGACTGCATCACATTGCCGTTACCTTAGTAAAATGCTTATCTGGCAAGAACTAATCCTTATTTTTCAACTTAAAAAGGCTAATTATAAAACTGTGGACATTTTGTGCACTAGCGGTGGCCTCAGAGGAGATACCAGTGTAAGGGGCTATTAATCAAGCCTTCACCTTGACTTTGGCACTCCAGGATGACTGGCTGTATTTTCCTTTTTACCCACTGCTCTCTCAGCTAAAGGTCCCATTGTGTCCGTCATATGTTTGTCTGTGGTAAAATCCGTACTGCTGCAATACATCCCAGTCATCAATTTGTGTAATTTAATGAGTTTATGTGCATTTCCTTATTGCTGCAGAGGCATGCTTAGGGGCTAAACAGCTGTTGATCGATTGAAAGATCAGTTTGACTGAGGGAAATTAACTGAAGAGGATGCACAGAGCAACTTATGGTAGATTAGATTACTTTCTCTGTGGGCTTTTTAAATAGGCCGTGGTCAGTTCTGCTGTTGCTGTGGAGGTCATGTTTCTCAAGTTAGCTCAGCAAGGTCCCAGCCTCCCCCAACCTGCTTAATCACACTGTAAGAACTGCGCCGCTTCTTTTAACAGCACTTTGCTACAACATGCCCAGACAAACCATTTAAAATGAATCTACATAATTCTATAAATGCGAGTTCAGCCCCTCGGAGTATCTGCTGTGACTGTGTCACACTGCTTTCATTCTTTTTTCCTAACTGATTCAGTGCATCTGAATGTTGAGTTAGTGTCTGTTCCAGCAATAGATACAAGGTTGCTGTTGCATTATCCATGCTATGATTGTTTTCTGCCTTTGTGATAAATAAATGCGCTTTACTTTACTGTGGTAAGGGCGATCTTATCAGGATTCCTTTTTCACATCTCTCTGTGATTCAGCTTGTTTGCTACCTGTGCAATCAGGCAGAGGACAGGGCAGTGGACGACTTCCAAACATTGCAGGCATCTGTCATATCAACACCTCAGCTGTAAAAATGTGACAGGTTGCCGTTAGCTGACCTTGCTGCTAATCCACGGTTGTATGCAAAGATGTAAATGCTTTCTCTTGACCCTTCCTGCATTCCAAACCACTGGTCTTGCTCATGAATACAGTTGAACTTTTTTGCATTTTATGCAGCAGTAAATATAGAACTTATACAGACTTATACACTTTCTCCGGGACATTTGCATGGTGTCCTTGGACTCTGTGGACTTTCCCCGGATGCTCTGGTTTCCTCCCACAGTCCAAAGGTTAATTAGTGATTCTAAATTGGCTTTAAGCGTGGATGTGGGTGGTTGTAAGTCTGTGTCAGTCTGGTGGCGGTCTGGCAAACTCTGTTTGGTTGACGCTGCCTCTCTCTCATTGTCAGCTGGGATGGGCTCCAGATCCCGTGGCTGTAGCTGGATAAGTGGTTAAGAAAGTGAATGGATGGACTTACAAGGAAGTACAACAGGGTCCAAGCACATTGATGCAATTTGATCTGGAAGCTCACAGACACAAGACAATAGAGAAGCCAAGGATTATGCAGGTCCACTGGAGGTGCTTTGTAGGTTATGCTGCTCCTTTTACCCCATATGACAGAGCAATGTGATCCAACTGATTGGCCAACATCCTGAGAGCCCTAAGCTCGAACTCATAGGGCTAAAATTTTAACATTGATTGGTTTGTTTCCAATTGGAACAATGTGGCCATAAACTGGATTTCTAACAACAACTGTGTGTAGCTCACGTGTTTTCTGTTTCCAAGTGTGTTGATTTTCAGGAATATTATTGATTACTCTATTGGTGTTTGGACAGCTAGGACATGAGTTTCCTGTCATGCAGTGTGTATATGACCACTGGGTGCCCCCAGCCTGGGGCGCCCAGTGATGTTCAATCAGAAAACCATGATCTACTTAACATTTTGATTGACATCTCATGACCCCTGGTATTTATCCCAGTTCAAACTTTCATACAGCTCCACTGTTGTGCTGCAAATGACGATGAAGAGACGCTGCTCCAGTGGAACAGTCAAAATTAATCTGTGCACGTTACTGTGAGAAGCACTAAGGGCTTACTCTGATTTGCTTTGCTCACAAGTGCCTGTGATCCAAGAATGAAGTAATAGCAGGCTTGGAAGTGTTTGCTGGGACCCCTGGCTGAGTCCCATCCCCCGTCTTTTAGCATGTGAAGGGGCTCAATTATAGACAGCAAGCCCACAGATTCTTCTCTCAACCCTCCTCCTTGCATCAACACTGTTAATTATACCGCAGCTTCGCCCTCCCATCCTTCTATTTTAATCCTCAATTGATGAAACTGCTTCATCCCAGCACATATACTTGAGCAGATAGAGTGGAGTGTGCCAGACCCATGCTGAGCTGGGAGTATTTGTTTGGTAACAAATAGGTTCACTGCTCTTCAGATATTAAGAGAGGGAATTTACCTTTTGTAGGGTGAATAAAGTAAACAGACTAGCCCTAGAAACACCTCCCAGTCGTCACAGGCGTGTTTAACAAGGCCCGCTGCTGGGAAATGCTCTCTTTGCATTGTTGGCCCCGTTGCTCAGGTCAGTTTCTTTTTTCAGTTCAGTGTGGAAAGTTGAGGTTTTCTTTTATAATAGAAGTAAAACTGTGGTTAAATTCAAATGCATTAGAACAACAACAGGAACTGCCTTTCATTTTCTTTTGGTCGTTGTCTGTAAAAGCAGAAGCTGAAAGATGAGTTGGTCGAGAATACTGAAGCTTTCTCTCTCAGGACGTTGCAGGGAAACTTTCCCATATAAATTGCAGATATTGTTCACCTGCAGGAAATGACAGAATAGTTGATGAGAGGTAGACTGTTTTAGAAATGGTTCTAAATAGATTTCCTGTGTGGTGCAGGGCAGACAAATTACATTTCTCAAGCAGTTTTTTTTCCTTCCTTTTTTAAAGGGTCTTACATTAAAGTTGGTATGACTTTCAGCAGGCTGACTTTTCTGATGTTCAGACTGTGTCCAAAGTACTCATTATGTACAGATAGATGCTAGCTCTATATAGACATCTATGTCTGCCTTATATAGATATAGCTATAAATAAAAGTTTGGGTTCAATAATATGAAAATATGTATTTATATCGCACCTCATCACAACAACAGTTGCCTCAAGGTGCTTTTTATCCTGAGGTAAAGACCCTACAGTGATATACAGTAAAGAAGACAGAGAAAACCCCCAACAATCATATGAGCACGCTCTTTGGAGGCAGTGGGAAGAAAAAACTCCTTTTTAACAGGAAGAAATCTCCAGCAGAACCAGGTTCAGGGATAGGTGGCCATCTGTCGCAACCGGTTGGGGGTAAGTGGATGAAGACAGGACAAAAGACATGCTGTGGAAGAGAACCAGAGATTAATAATAACAAGCGAGTAAATGCAGAGAAGTGTATAAACACATGGTGAGTGAAAACGGTGACTGAAGAAGAAACACTGCATCGTGGGAATCCCCCAGCAGCCTGGACGTATTGCAGCAGAACTAAGAGAGGATTCAGGGTCACCTGATCCAGCCCTAACTATATGCTTTATCAAAAAGGGAAGTTTTAAGCCTAATCTTAAAAGTAGAGTGATTCCACAGAAGAGGGGCCTGGAAGTTGAAGGCTCTGCCTCCCATTCTACTTTTAAATATTCTGGGAACCACAAGTAAGCCTGCAGTCTGAGAGTGAAGACCTCTAATGGGGTAATAAGGTACTATAAGATAAGATGGGGCCTGATTATTCAAGACCTTGTATGTGAGGAGCAGGATTTAAAATTCAATTCTGCGTTTACCAGGAAGCCAATGTAAGAGAAGCCAATACAGGAGAAATCTGCTCTCTGTCTAGTCCCTGTCAGGACTCTTGCTGCATCATGTTTTGATCAACTGAAGGCTTTACAGGGAATTTTTAGGACTTCCTGATAATAATGAATTACAGTCGTCCAGCCTGGAAGTAATAAATGCATGAACTAGTTTTTCAGAGTCACTCTGAGACAGGATATTTCTAATTTTAGAGATATTGCACAAATGGAAGAAAGCAGTCTTACATATTTGTTCAAAATGCGTATTGAATGACATCAAAAATGACTCCAAGATTCCTAAAAGTGTTATTCAGAGTAAGCATCTGGCTTGAAACCACATTTCTAGGATTTTTAGAGTACAATAACCTCAATTTTATCTCCAGGCTCTGGGGAGGCCTGTCCATGACTGAGGGTGGTCTGTTGTATGTTTTTCTATCCAGGGATGACAGCGTGTTTGGAATCATTGCCGTGCTGAAAAAGAAAGTAATTACCAATCCATCCTATTGCATGGAGGATCAACTTCTGATTATACTTTTTTGTGTTCATAACTCTATCAATTTTGGAAAAATCACCAACAGCACTGGTTGAAGTACAGCCCCAAACCATGACAGAACCTCTGTCAAGAGAGGTTTAACCGCTCTTGATCTCTTTACTTCTTGACACCAGTTTGAACTAAACATGTTGTGGATTTATCACTTTATAAGACCTGTTATCATTGATTTTCAGTCCAGTTCTTTTGTAATTTGGTATACCTCAGTCTTTTTTCTCTCTTTTTCATTTATTAAGAATGGCCTATTGACCTGCATGAGCCAACCCTCGTGGAGACTCAAAAGGGCAAAACTGCTATGGGCCCCATGTGGGCAACCCTACATGTACCTCGTATGGGTTTTCTGTGGGCAAAGTCACTGTGGGATGCTCACAGATTTCCCTCTAAGGTGCCCCAAAAAGCAAAATTCCTATGGGACATGGCAACCAACCTATAAGGGTACCATATGGGTTTTCTGTGGGCTTACCCATAGAAAACCCATATAAGGGCCCCAAAGGGCAGAACTGCTGTGGACACGCTTACTGTGGGCCAACTTGTGTTTGGTGGCTACTCAGGAAAAACAGCTCAAATGATAGTGCCAGTTTGACTGTGCTTAATGAGTACCACCAGGTGAGAGTCAGGTGACAGTGCTCTTTGGTCTTTATCATCAGCTACTGGCAACATGCCACCAGTTGTGTCAAGGTTTCCTGCAGTTATCTTCATGGCACTATATCCACATAGTGCCGGTGCCACACACAGAGAATCTCTTTGTTTTAGAGCCAAGGTTTTTCCAAAGCGTTCATGCTTCCGATGGAGAAACTGAGAAAGTGAATGCACGTAAACTGTGCCCAGAAATGGAGACTCCAAAGATGCCTCTTGGTACTGAGGTAGACAAATTGTTAACCCTTGATGCTGTGTTGAAAAAGAAGAAGAAATTGTTCACAGAAATGGATGTACAAAGTTGTTCACTACTTTGCTGAATTAATTATTTGACCATGATTTTCGGTGCTTATCCAAGACTGCGGTGCTGGCCAGTCTTAAACGCTTATACTTGGATAAAATAATTTTATTAATTCAGCATACACCTCCGTAAAAGTCCACAAGCAACACAGATCTGTAGTGAGAGAACAGGTTATTCACCAGGAAATGAACAGCAGGCTAGTCAGAGCATCCGTGTAAATTACATGCTCATTGCAACATCCTCACATCGCTAGGCAACAAGAATAAAATCCCTCACCAGCTTCCACCTGGGAACAGTGTCTGCAGTGCACAGTTTGAGAAGAAATGGCAATAAAGATTTCCAGTGACAACAGAAGCATTTAAAAAAGATTATATTTGGCCAGCCTATTTATTTTCACAGACATTTTACATTTTATTGTTTATTTTTGTTAAGAGGTATCTTTGGAAAGTTGAATTGTGCATAGGGTGATCTTTTTATTCTGGGCAGTCTGAGTAGTTTCTGCACGGAGATCATAAAGAGACCATAATTTGCATGTCAAACATGAAATTTCAAAGAAAAGATATTTTTGGTTTGAGACAGGTTTTCCAGAAATAACATCTCAGCGGACCGGTGCGAGACACAAAAGTGCTGTTTATGATTAAACAACAAGTGGTTTAGCTTCAGAAACGGGCATCCATCAGTCATCAGTTCCCAGGGATTGTTCTCATAAGCACAATCTCTGTTGTTGTGTAGATGTTGTTTCTGTAGACTTTGCTGTCTTATTTTCTAGGTTTTGCTGTGCATGAATGTGTGTGCACGTGTGTGTGTGCTCGGGTCTTTGTCTCTGCATGTACCTGTCTATGTGCATCAGTAGCTCCCTGTCTCTAATGGAGTCCTAGGGTTGTAGGCAGGCAGGGAGGAAGGGCAAGGAGAGGGAAAGTACAGCCTTGAGCAGACTTCCACTTTTAAAACCCAGCTCCGAACTGCTGCAGTTCAGCAGCTAGGCGGCCACCTCATTAGAATTTTTTACATTCCTCTTCAGGCAGCAGCACACTGCTTCTTCTCCACTGCTCTTTCTAAGCCACAATCTGTAAAAGATGATGGGATTATATCTAAACTGTCTCAGTCAAATATGAGGCTCTAAACCATTGTCTTCATAAATTAAATGACTGTACATAATGTTATAGCATAGCATAATTCAAATCAACTATAAACCTATTTAAGACAATTTTCTTTGACAGATTATCATCAGGTGTTAAACAGAAGAGGTAGTAATTCTTCTTTAGTCTAGATAAGTAGACCACCTAAGCACTTAGCTGTGCAATTAGCTTTGGGTTTTTTGTTTTTTTAAAAAGTGTCACTGTAGGAGTTGGACAAAGGCTTTCATTGTCAGAACTTGGGGCCCACCCAGATAATTGGATATAGGAATGGGTTTACTGTTGCTAACTATAAACTATGTAAAGTGTTTCAAGTGTCTGTTTATTCTGCTGTGTCTCCCACGTGAAACCCTGCTGAAGTGCTTTCTGTATAAGAGGAGAGGAAGGAACGAGGACGCCCTGCTGGAGATAATGGCAATGAATGTGTTCTGGCTCTCCTCCAGAACTGTCGTCTCGTGTACGGCCGTGAGTGAAATTCACTTTGCCAGCGGTTAGCGCTGCCCATTACTCACTGAACTGTGCTGCAGTGATAGCGAGGGGGGCCCAGCGTTAAGGCAGAGGAGCGTTAGCACAACGGCGCACTACAGGACAATGGATGTGATGAATGTCGATACACTGCCACTGGGTTTTCAAGTCCTCCAACTACACATCGGCCCAGTTCTCAGTGTGGCACTCCACTTCACCCAGAGCGGGTACAACCTAGACCAAAGCTTTCAGTCTAAGGTAACTGCAAGAATAGAAGACAAGCTTTTTTTTTTTTTTTTTTAAAAGGTGTTTTATAACTCTTGGGCAGACAGCATTGCCTAAACATGCCCGACTTCTTCCCCTCCATGCACACAGATGTTCATCACTTCCTCCACTGAAATTGGTGGAATTCCAGGATCTTTGCTCGCAGTTGGATGATGCTAGTGTTGTTTGTCTGCCAGCATGCCTGCCTTGTTTTCCCCTGAAGGTGTCAGGTTCTCAGGTTTGCTCAATCAGATGGACGGGCAGGTTCGTGCCTGGTTCTCAGCCAGATCTGTGAACAGGAGGAGGCAGCAGGGAGAGGTGGGGAAGGGCAGAGAGAAAGACAGGGAGAGTCAAACAGAGAGAAGGAACTAGTGAAGTTGCTCTGCTACGTCCTGTGCATCTGGAAGTTCTACATGAAAAGAAATGCTGTGTAGGAGTCTGGCTTGACTATTATTACATCAGTCTCTTTCTGGCTGGTGCATGACATTGTGGCCAGTTGTAGATGAGTTTTGGCTTCCCTATGTATTCTGTCTTTTTTTCTTTTTGGCTCCTTTTATAGTGCATTCATCTTTCCCAGACATGATAGCTTTCCCTTTTTCTCCCTAACCCTCAGTTATCTGCTAGTTAATATGTGTTGCAGCTGTGAGTGAGTGTATTACAGAACAGCTAATCGATCCTGTTATGAATCTCATACAGATAGTTTTCCCCCCTTTTTTTTGACATTATTCTTTTGCCTTTTACTTTTCTTTTTTTTTAGAAAAATAAGTCTGTTTCCCTTCTTTCCAAATTCTGGTTTGATATTTGCTCCATCTCTATCTCTCCAGTTCCGCTTTGCATTTAATTAATCTGGTTTTTCCTGGCGGCCGCATACACACAGCTATAGTGAGGTTCCCGTGCCAGGCAATTTTCAAAGACTTCACTGTGCTGGAATGAGGCCCCAGTTTTTGACCAAGCTTGGACAGAGGGACCTTTGTGTCTGTTGCCCAACAGCCCTGTCAACCCTTAGAGCGGGGAAAGATTAGTACACAGAGAGAGCCGATGGACTAAATGGTAGGGTGCCTGTTTGAAAGCCAATGGTGTCAGGCAAACAGCCCCTTAGCCTCATTCAAGCACGCAGTAATTACAAGCTTGTAGGGCAATCCTTCGGCTCTTTTGTCTCGGCTTTGGATACACTTGCCTGTTGTACTGGGAAACTTCATTCCCCCTCTGTTGGGAGACCCGAGGGGGAAGACTCTTTCAACTGCAGCATGTTGTCCTTTCTCTCATCAACATCAGCAAATGGGACTCCCCTTCAGGAGACAGTCTTTTTTAATATAAGTCTAGTAAGCCAAGCTGTGCCTTAATGATGATGACTCAGGACATTCTCATAGCCTTGCTTGTGATTCACTGCACGATTCACCGTTCCTGCTGACTGACTGCTGTCTGTCTTCCACCTTTGATTTCATGGGTGTCTGGAAGGCCCCACTGCATGAGCTGAATTACACACACACTGAGGCTTCCAAGAAACTCATTACTCTGTCTCATCCCCAGAAGCACACAATCAACAAATTGTAGATCATGAGAGGCATGTCATAAAATCATCACCTCTTTATTGCTCTTTTTCTCATCTCTAGGTAGGGTCACATGGTCTACACTCAGAGGTTAGAGCCCCAATTACAGGAAGTTAACCAAATTTGGTCAGCATGCAGAAGCTGTCTAGACACGTCCCACTGAGATGTGGAAAAATCTTCTTTCTTTTTTTTTTTAAATAGAAAAAGACTGATAGGATGGTTTAGAACAAGACGGCATTATCCTGTGAATCGTTAGGTTTTATCTTTGTTTCTTATTAAGTTTTCCCCGCTCTCAGCCAACACAAGACTCCAAGTCTCAGTGCTATAGTTATTCTTTTAATCTGACAGGACCATGAAGTCAGCCGTCTGTCTGCGTAACTGTCAGCGAGGAGATTAGAGGCCTGTTTTCTGGGACATGTGTGTGCGCATGTGTGTCCTGTGTTAGTTCAATTCATCTCTCTGTCCCTGTGGACGCTCGGCGGCATAAGGGAATGAGGCCCAACGCTCTGGGACTAGACGCATGGTTTAACTTGCATTCCCTGACTATTTTCACTCCTATAAACGTGAGAGAAAGAGAGATTTAGTAGGACATGAATTAGTTTTTTTAAATAAATAATGAGTGTTTATTAATTTGCTCCAGGCACATAATCTACTGCCATGCCCCAAACAATTGATGTCCATTCAGCTAAGCAGGAAACCCTCCTTGTCTGACAGACTGAAGATCATATTGGAGATGCTGCCTGTCATCCTACTTGATTATGCTCTCGCTGAAGATTTCAAAAGATACATGAAGGTCGAATGATGTGATCCGAGGCCATTTTTGCTTGTAAGCTCTACCCATTAAAATGATATACTGGGTTTGATTTGAAAGTCTTCATGTTTGTTTCAGCTCACAGTTTGTTTGTGCAAAAACAGTGCAAAAGCCTGTAAGCACATTAGCCTCCGCATGCTACATTTTGCAAGCAGGATTTATGACTTTAATTGCTACTGCATGATTTAATGCTGCATGTTTTTTGCACAATATTGGGCCTGCAGAATCCCACTCTGCTGCATAATATGCACAGGCTTAAAGATTTGTTGTCAGAAAGCACTCTTCTGTGTACTGAAGCTAGGCTGACTCTGGCTGATTTGCCTAAGGCTTTCTGAAAACTGAATCATCTGCAGAGCTTTGAGATTTTGTGCTTACACTCTTTGCATGACTTATAAATCGATGTTGATATATCAAACATATGAGGAAAGCATCTAGGGAATATTTGGCCCATCTCTCACTTAACTGTGCCACTGTGGCAACGTTGCCGGTCACGTGATACTGTGCACCACTTTCACATACATTGTAGTTTGTTGCCTTTGATGAAATGCTTCCATTTCCTTAATTCTGTATGGTTTAAACAAAGGTGAGGGCCTTCTTTCTGCTAAGGACTGCATGATTTTGAACTGCTCCTGATGTTTTGATGCAGTGTGAAGGTGGCTGTGCTATAGGACCGTCACAGTGCTCTCGTTGCTGGTGGCTAATGTGATCACAGCCACAGCCAGTCAGGGCCAAGTGAAAGTAAAGCCTTAATCTCCCTCAGTGTCTCACTGCCAAATTGGCCTGATTTGTCAGGCAGAGGATCATCACCCACTTTTCAGATGACTTTCAAAGGGCCACTTTGCTTTTTGATGTGCAGCTTGACATATTTGATCCTGACAAGTGCGACTAAGCAATACAAATCACTAATGTTTGGCTATTTAAAGGGGCATTCGAGGAGATGTCAGAGAAGGGGTGAGCTAGAAGTCTGCCAGCTGAAGATATTTAGATTGTTCTCTCACTCATGTTCCATCTACATAAATGATCTTATTAAGGAAATGGCTTCGACTTTCAAGGAAAAAAAAAAACATGCACTCACTGTTAACCTCTTTTTATAATTTGGCAGACTTTCTGTGTTTCCCCACAATGGTTATGCTGAAATTGGTTTGAAAAGTAGGCTCCCTTATCTGAAATTGAACGTGCCGTTGAATTTTCACCGGTTTTTAAAAAGAGAAAAGAATTCACATTCTGTTCTCCAGGCAGGTCCGTGCATCCCACATATATACTGCTTTTTATAGAAAATAAGCATTTGCATATTTCTGTCCTTGTGTGTTTTGTTTTTGGTTTTTGGGGAAAGGTTGGAAGAAAGGATGCCCTCTATTCGTGAGAGTAGATATTTTACACTAATATAAAATGTACTGCAGAGGTGGTGTTAATTAATAAATATAAAGAATGCTCTAAATAATATCTGCTACACTGCTTGTTTTCCTTTATTTCCAGTCTTATTTATGACAGGAAAAAGCCTTGTGACTCATCATGCGTATTCATTTATGGCTCTTTAGAATATTACTCTATGCACTTACTGATTTCTCTTTTGTTTCCAGGAGCGGGTGTTTGGAGTGTGGAAAATGCCGTGTGGCAGTCTCGACACATGTAAGGAGGCATAAAGCCGTCTTGAGCGCTGATGAGGTGAATTTGCCTCTTAATCCAGACAATCAAATGGCTCATGAGGTCAGAGAGCAGTGCCCCATCCCAGAGGCAGCCATGCTCACCTGCTGAGTGCCTTTTGCCTTTGGCACTTATGTAATGACCAGCCTGAAGCACCCACCCATGGAGCGTACCGTTGGGGGTTCGGTCCCCGCCAGTGATGAGTTTTACACCCGCCACCTGCGTATGGCCAATGGGGTTCCTGTTTCAAGCCGCACTGACAACATCCACGCCACTGTGAGCACAGGAGTGCCTAAAATGGGTGTACGGGCTCGTGTGGCCGACTGGCCCCCAAGGAAAGACGTTACGATGCCTCTGTGGCATTCATCTACGGAGCCTGAGAACTCTGCTGTGCCCTCAGCTGGAAAAAGTCACATAAAGTTAGGCTCTATAATGAGCCCTCAGGACTCAACAATGCTGCGTAACATCCACAACACTTTAAAGAATCGAGCCCAGTCCCAGGCTAACAATTACAGCCCTGACACCCGTTACCTCGCTCCAGGAGACTATAGAGGTCCTGCACATAGAAACCCACGGCAGAGACGCATCCGCCAGCGCAGCAATAGTGACATGACTGTTGGTGAGATGGAAGGCAGTGGAGACAGTGGGGAGGAGTGGGGTCCATCATCGGGAGCCAAATTGTCCCCTCTTCACCGTGAATATGGCAGCACCTCCTCGATAGATCAACATGGAGTAGCTGGAGACAGCTTCTTTGAAATGCTTAAGGGCTATCAAGGCGACAAAGTTGATCAACGCAGCCCCGCTCCAGAGAAACTGGAGGACATGCTGAATATTGCATCCAAGCAAGGGATTCTTGATCTTCAGGAGGATGTCACAGACGGTCATCCTCCTAAGGCGAAGGACAGAGATAAGCCCCCAAAGAGACGCACAAAGTCTGAAACAGGAGGCGAGTCTATATTCCGTAAACTTAGGAACGTGCGAGGTGAGTCCGACTCCCCCAAAGCGGGGTCTGATGTGGAGGACAGCCGAACGGATGACACGGGCCCTCCTCTCAAGCCCTGGGTGTGTCAGAAAGGGTTCGCTCACTACGATGTTCAGAGCATGCTTTTTGACCTCAATGAAATTATTCAGTTGCGGCAGACTGCAGGCAAGAGGAAAAACACCACCACGGGAGCGTCTGCCGCTGCCGTGGCCTCTGCTACCTCTACTCTGTCATCCACCCACAGCCTGCCTTATAGCTCTCCTAGTGGAAGCCAGGAAGATCTCAATTCCAGGGACAGTCCTAGCCTGGATGCTGGAGATGAACAAAGCAACGAAATGTTGCTAAGCTGCCCTTGCTTCCGCAATGAGATCGGTGCCGATGGCATTGCGAGGCGCAAGCTGGGGGCTAATGGGCCAGGATATCATGGGCTTGTGGGTGGCGGAGCTGGAAACTGTGGCTCAGGGACCCTGAGTGGGGAAAATAACTTGTACGAAACATCTGTGAGCACACACTTAACCAATGCTGGAGTAGCAGTTCTTGAGGGACCAAAGGAGGGCCCGAGCACGCTCAGCGACAAGGGCAAACAATACATTGTGGAGCACGTGGACCTGGGAGCTTACTACTATCGGAAGTTCTTCTACCTGAGGGGTGAGATGCATTCACCTGCTTTCATTACAGCTGTCATAGCATATAGATGGATTTATTGTTTAAAGAAGTAGTGCTGTTGAATATACATGATCAGTTTTTAATTGTACTACTACTTCTACCTCAGATCATTGGAACTACTTTGGGCTAGATGAGGCATTGGGTCCAGTGGCAGTGAGCATGCGCAGAGAGAAGCTGGAGGAGGACAAGGAGCATGGCCAGCAGTATAACTATCGTGTCATCTTCAGGACCAGCGAGGTCAGATATAGTGTCCGTCCTGCATGGAACCTCAGCGTAACTTCGTGCTATTCCTGTCTACTGTGGAAAAATATGCCCACAGCATTTCACCAGTGTGGGAAACAAATTACTTTGCTTGTCTGTGAAGCAAGCTTCTTTGGATTTAGGGTGTCATACATGCACCACAGACCTTATATAACCATATAGAAGGTGTGTTTATTGCAACAACTCTATGTTCCCATATTAGGAAGACCAACTCAAGGTAAAATAAGTCTCAGTCCTTGGTTTTTTTTTTTTTTGGTTATGCAACCAACCCCTGGGCTATTCAGCTGTCTCACAATATCAGCAATGTGTGAAGAAACTTCAGGAAGTGCGCTCATCCTCCAGCCTCCAAGGCCTGTCAGCAACCTAAAACCGCTGTGCGGAGAACTTTACGTCTTTGTTTCAGTAAAAATAGACTCATATTTAGTAGTTGTGTTAGCTCCCCTGTCTTCTGTGTTTGGCTTGGGATATTGGATTTTGAATTTTGTGTTATGGGATTATATGGACATGCATTCCCAGACAGTGGATAAAGGCATCTGCCTGGGGCTGTTTGTTGTGGACTGAGGCAGGACAGGTGCATGTGATTAAACCCCCACACTTTAGCCTGAATTACCTAAGCACACCCCCACCATACCTTCTAGACATGGGGAACACAGGTCTATTGTAAAAACAAGCCCAGCACAGCCTCAAGCTTGCAGGAGAGAGAAAGTCTCCATCCGTTCCAGCTGCTCATGATAGCCAAGTGATTGAGCTCAGTCCCAGAGCCCGGCACAATGCACACTTTGTGTACACAGAGCGCTTAGACAAGCCCTTCCACCTCCTCTTCTTCCTCGGTTGCACTTTGTGATTGTTCTGTGTTTTCACATAACTTCTTAATGGTTGAATAAGAGGCAGCTATGACTTTAAGAACCACAGCAGCCTGTGTTTCCTTCCATGTGTCAGGGCAGGCATGTTTTGTTATCACTGCGTTTCATCTCCAAGAGTTCAAAGCGCATTAAAAATTCCTGAGGTGCATTCCTTTGGTTCTCGCGCTCCGCACTGTAATCTCCTGTTCTTCATCTCTGCGTTTCCAGCTGATAACTCTTCGAGGTTCTATACTAGAAGATGCAGTGCCTTCCACCTCTAAGCATGGCACCAGCCGAGGTCTGCCCATTAAAGATGTACTGGAGTATCTTCTGCCTGAGCTGGATCTCTCCTGCCTCAGACTGGCTCTCAACACACCCAAAGTCACTGAGCAGCTGATGAAACTGGATGAACAAGGGGTAGGCGGAAAATAAACAATTTTCCAAAGGATTGAAAGTTTAAAGTGTTGCAACGTGTGTTTATAATAACTGAATAGGAATTCTTTTATTCAACCTGCTCACTGCTGAAGTAGATTAAAGAAATAAATTGACTGTCATGTTTGTGTCTTTGCTTGTTCCCAGCTGAGTTTTCAGGTAAAAGTGGGAGTGATGTACTGCCGAGCAGGGCAGAGCACAGAGGAGGAAATGTACAACAACGAAGTAGCCGGTCCCGCCCTGGAAGAGTTCCTCCAGCTGCTGGGGGAGAAGGTTCGCCTCAGGGGCTTCACCAAGTACAGAGCCCAGCTGGACACAAAAAGTAACAGTCCCCCAGCATACTTATAGATGACACACACAGTAAATAGTACTAAGTTGTGACACATCTTTAAACCCGCTGATCACTGAAACTGATTGCATATAAGAGTGTTTCGTTTCGGTAGTGAAAGTAAGACATCATGTGAATGGTGACTTGGATTTCCCCTTCTTCATATTACACTTTATAGTTTTTGAACTTTGGCCCTTTATCTTGCCTTTATCTTCTCCGCTTTTATCTGACTTTCTGTTCCTTCTGACCAACATGCCCGCTACAACAGTCTATTAGTGCTGGCACTAGACAATAAAATGACACCTGATGTGTTGTGACTATATCAGGACTTTTACGTTGCCTGGCATGACTAAACAGATTCGTTAGGTGAATGAATGAGGCCCTAGATCATTTACCCTACATTTATTGTTGGTTTACAATAGTACGAAACTTTTGGCTTTCAAATAAAATTGTTTTGGGATTTGCTAAAGAGACGCCGTAAGATGTTTCTGACTGAAAGGCATGGGCAGAGTTATTTTAGCTGAGCTTATCACACACAATCCTCTTTCAGACCTCGTAATTTGGGGAGGAGTGTATTTAAATGAATCATACATGTGATTTCCTGCAAATTGCGCCATTATTTAATGCTGAAACAAAAGCATGTCTTATTTTGTGCCTGATATGGCTGTGATAGTTGTTCCTAGGAGAGTTGATTTATTTGGAATTTTATTGGGAGATGTTATCAGAATTAACATGTAATTGCCATGGGTGGATTGCTCAAAGCTGTGGGGGTTAGCATTGCTAAAGCTTGGCCTCTGTCCTCTTCACTGAGTTCTCAGCCTAAACACATACTGCTGGTTTCCTATACTGTTATTTTAATGTAACAGAGCAGAAGTGGACTTAGAGCATATAGTAATCTTTTTATTTTACACATTTGATACAGACAGGTTTGAATCCTCTGTTTCCAGGTCTTTAACCAGCAGCACGTGTACGCAGAGCTGTGTTTAAACGCCACAAATCTACCTTCTCTTTATTATCAGATCAATTAAATAACATGCTATATGTCAAAATGAAACTACCATTGTGACTCAGACAGATGTGAGAAGTGTGCTGTAATAATGACGCTCAGGTTTCACTCAATATCATTTTGTATTTTGCCACAATTCAGATTTTGTCTGTTGCCCACAGGTGGCTGTGCTGTACGTGACTTTAATAAAGATCTGCAGCCTCACACAGCAAATTTTAAAAAAATGAGATAGACGCGCACATTTTCAATAAATACGTTAGCATTCGATTAATCAGAATGTGATAGTAAATAATAATTATTTACATTAATCCGACAGGTCAGCTGTAACACTGGAAATGAATTCAACTTCCATACATTTGCACATTGAACTCTCTGCTCCTATATTTGTTTATTATTTTTTTTGCGATTGTGGTCTCGGCCTATTTTTCCCTGCTTAGTAATTCTAGCCCTTTGTTGTGCAATGGCAGGGAAAAATGTAACGAGCTTCCCTTACAGGATGCATGAGTAAAACAATTAATTGTTCTCTTTATTAACATTAGCTTTGACAGGCTGACATTGATCCACAGCTGACTATTGTGTAGCTGTTTGTGCTACAGTGAAATTGCATCCTGTCTTGCACAAAAAAGCACTGAAAAGAAAAATGAATGGCAGTAGGGATACAATGAGTCTGAACACTGTATTCCTATTTTTCCTGCAGCGGATTCCACGGGCACTCACTCCCTGTACACTTCATACAAGGATTATGAGATCATGTTCCATGTGTCTACTCTGCTGCCTTACACGCCCAACAACAAACAGCAGGTAAAGATGGGGAGTACAAATTTCGTGGTATGTCCTGAGTTGTGTTTTCGGAAATGAAAAACTTCTTTTTATTTGCACCACAAAGACATCAGAGAGGAATGTTATGACTTATCATTCAGGAATCAGGTTTCATTTTAAAGAATGTGGTTTTTTTTGAATGCCAGTAAATGGAACGTACCAAATCATTTGTATGACTTTTACATTCAGTTGTCACGCCTCTCTAAAAATTCCTTGTTTTTCAATGACTAGTTGCTGAGAAAGCGGCACATTGGGAACGACATAGTGACCATAGTGTTCCAGGAGCCCGGAGCTCACCCTTTCACTCCCAAGACTATTCGCTCCCACTTTCAACATGTCTTCATCATCGTACGAGTACACAACCCCTGCTCCGACAGCACATGCTACAGGTGGGTCTTTAAGCGTGACCAGCAGAGATGAAACATGAGCAGCCTGTTTTGAATCTGTAAACTAACCAAGTACTTTTTAGTGCCTAAACTTGACCTGAAATTGAAAATGAAAAGAATTCACAAAAGACAATAAAGGAGAAACAAGTTTTAAAACAACTGTGGTCTCTTGGCTGACAAGCTCGTGACTCTGCTTTTAATTGTACCCTTTCTGGCTCTTTAAAAGAGGCCTATTATACCTCAGCAAGCCTTTATGTATTATATCTCAAGCTGTCTTGTTGTGAGGGGGAAGATCATCAAAAGAGGAATAAAGCTAGCTGAACAAAGGACTGACTTTAGACTTTAGTTTCCTTAACTGAATTAAGGAAACTAAAGTCTAGCTTGGAACCAAATTAAGTGTTTATACAGATCAAGGACAAAGGGGTATTCTTCCCTGATAAATCTGATACTGAATCAGAGCACATGCTCATATTTAGTTTTAATATGGATTTCAGCACAGTGTGTTGGTTCACATACTTTCTAACAAACAGATCCCAGGGAGCCCCGTCCAGTACCACCTCATCTTCTACTTAAGCTTGTGTACTTTAACCATTTTTTTGTATACTCAGAGTATATATACTCTGAGTATACAATCATAGCTTATGGTATTTCTGGGGACTGGGCCAAGATGAATTTGTTAGCTGGTGTGACCAGTTTTACTCCAGATTAACATGGCTTAGGTTAAAGAAATGGGCCCGTTTCCCTTATCACTCCTCTGTCTAGTGGCAGCTGTGCTGCAATATAAATACATGAGCAATGTTATAGATGAGGAGCTATATTTTCTGTTAATTATCAAAAGTCACTGGATGTTATTTTTAAGCAAATTATGAAATGTTAATGTAGACGGGACACTGGTGAAAATATTTTATTCTTCCTTTTCGCAGTCAGTGCTTTCCTGTTCTGTGATTTGCTGTTTCTTAGAAAGAGGAAGTAGCTTTGCTGCAAGATTATTGGTGTGATCCTTCATGATCTTTAGGCTCAAAGGCACAGAACATCGCTTTGGACCTGCAGAGTCCTTAACAAGGTTTAGCTTCCTCAAAGGTAGTGGTTATACATTAACATAAATGAATGTACATAAATTACATAAAGTAAACCTTGTGCATATCTTTGCAAAGCAGGTTGTGTCTGAGACCAGACCGCAGAATTTTATGCTGAATGATGATGCTTTGGCAGTGTATGAGCATATGCAGTGAAAACGAGATGCATTACAATTTTAAATGGGTCAAACTGACAAACCTCAGCAGTGACGTTGAATGAAAATCTGATTTTGGCTTCGCATCTCTGTCTGGGACCGGATCCTTTTATGGGACTCTTAAAAGCTCCACACCACTTTTCAGAGCTTGTAGATGTGTTTTCATGCAGGTAGCTACAGTAGCATTAAGACAAAAGCACTGACTGGAAGGCAAACGCTAGCATAAAAGCCTGTTGCCTGGCTGCTGTCCCGTCTTCGTGAGCTGCGTTTCCACTGCACATCTGTATGCGTGTGAATTAGTTTGATTAATGTCAGATAGAAGAAATTACTTGTGCAGTAGCTGTCACATTGATGGGGGTTCTCCCGTGGAGCTGTGTGGCGTTGACACTTATGCGTTTCTACCCCACTGCACATGCTCTTTCTGTGCTTTGAACACACAGATATTATACACATGTAGTTGCTCCCACTCACTCCCCTACTCCCATTTCTCCTTTTACCTCTTTCTCATGCTCACTTGCACACACTGCCCCCCACCCGCCGTACACTAATTCACTCAAAGACTCACTCTTCACACACTCATATAAATACAAGTCTCAACCCTCCCTCCCCCTCCTTTCCTTGCTTGCCACTTTGCCTTTGGGCAGCATGAGTTGGAGTGGTCTGAAGGAGTTAGCGCCATGCACATGAAGTGCTCTCTTCAATGGACATGCATGTGAGTGGGCAGGACTGTTAAGAGCAGTGTTTCTCAGAGCTCACAGAGCCAACCTGAGGAGCAGACAGGTCGAGCCAACCTTCTGTCTGTTCAGCCACGGCGCCGTCATATTTGGGCTAATTTATTTCGAGCCCTTTTATTTTTCTTCTCCGTGCTGACTTTTCTTTTTTTCTGATGAGCTACTCCATCTCATTGACTCGTGGCTGCTTTCGTTTGTTTTTCTTTTTGCATAAGGGGTTCGTCTTTTAGTTTATACTCTGAAAGAAAGAGAGAAATCTTTGTTGTTTAGCTTATGGAAGAAATGGAGAGGCCCAAGACACCGAATCCTTGAAGACAATCCTGCTACCCTACGCAAGAATCATCCACACAATCTCAGTCTTCGAATTCAACTCATATTCTGTGTGGACTGAGGCGCCATGTGTTAAGACTTCACTCCTGACTGTTTGTCACAAGTCTTTCCCTGGATGCCTTCCCCTGATGGTTTAAGGGGGGAGAAAAAAGAGTCTGGACACGAGAACTCAGTTAGAAGGATTTGCTACACAGTATTGCGTGGTTTATATTGGGTGTTGTATTATAGGAACAAGGAAGAATTAAGTTAGCATCGGCACAGTTTGTCTACCGCCTTGATTGAATATAAGTGTTTCGATGCAGTAATCTGAAGAGCTTGGTTACTTTTTGATGAAGACAGGAGGTAAGTTGCACATGTTTGTGTTGAGTTCAGCATGCTATGGTGTGGTGGTCAAAGCCATACAAGAGTACCTGATGCAGGGATTTACAGTTCAGCTGCTCAGTAGCCCTCCCTATCACACTCCTTCCTTAAATTGTTGCACATCATATATGCTAGCTTGAAACTTTGTTTTACATGAAGAGATTCTTTCCTCCCCTGTTTCCCTTTACTATAACACAATGCATTTGCCTCTTTAATCTCTATTAATAAAGGGCATGTTTTTATTTGTTGAGTCATCTAGTTATTAATAGCCTGTCATTGCCTGCTGCTGAGATCTGGATAATTCCCAGGTCATATTGAGCCAAACCGGAGCATTAAAGGAGTAAGTGGCCTGGGGCCAGCGGGGTGCTAATCTGCTGCTTTCAACCGCTGCCTCAAAGTCACACGGGGCCAGCGAGGCAGGATTGCGTAACCAGATCTTTGTTTAGGAAATGATCTTTGTTTGTGCTTGCGAGCCAGAGCCACAGTGCTGCTCCTCCATATACCATGATGTAGCAGAGAGTGGCAGGGTGTCATCACTGGGAGCTGGCTTGTCATCTAGGATTGGATGTATAGCATTTATATGCTGAGTGCAGTCGGCCATGGTTTGCAGCATTTCTGCTACAGGCAGAGGCTGTGTTATCTGTTTAATGGGCTGGATGGAGTTTTGTCAGGACTGTCAAAGTAGCTTATCCGAGACCACGTCTTGGTTTTTTCGGTTTTTAGTGTACATGCACGTATGAACTTATAGCTATATATAGCCCCTATACTTATTTAAAGGCAGAAGGCAGACAAGTTTTTTTCCTCATTGGTAGTTTAAAGTCTTTTGAAAGGTTTTTCTTGTAAAGTTTCCCAGATTTCTAATGAAGAACATGTAGACGGCAGCATCGCCACACAGTTACTAATTGATAGTAATTTAACTCAAACGGCCATTGTGTAAAAATGTAATATGAGCAGTGGACAAGACGCGAGCTTTGCCTGTAGGAATTAGAACACCCTCCTTTTTAGAGCAAAGGTCAGAGGTGAGGTAACCATACAGTAAACTGTATGTTGTGCTGTGTTAATTCAGTCTATTTATCTTTGCATGTGCATATTCTATACTCCACTTTTTATGAATGTGTTTAAAAAAAAAAGTTATATGCAATTTTAAAATGCATTTTAAAATAATTGAATATACATGCTTATGCAGTAAACTCATCCTTACCAGAGCCAATCCTGGGGTATCATTCTACTTTCTGTTAATCTGGCTACAAAGAAATTCAGCCTGGCCGCTTGGGAGATAGGAGTCAAAGAAGCTAAAAGGCTGAAATAATTATTTATACCTGCTTCTGGACCTTAACCCCAACTCAAAGAAACAAAAACTAATTATCAATGCATAATAACACTTCCTTCCTCCGTGTCCTTTGGTTTTCTTTTGGGATTTTTTCTTACAGGAAGAAAATTTTGCCATCAAAACACTTGCATTCTTGTAATGCATTCTGATTGGTCAGTTCGGAATTCATGACTAGACTAATGCCCTTCCTTTAAAGTAGGGGTGGGGGAAATCCAGGCCTTAAAGCCTGCAGGTTTTAGATGTGTTCTTGATGCAGTGGAGCTGATTTAAATGGCTAAATTAGCTCCTCAACATGTTTTGCAGTTCTCCAGAGGCCTGCTAATGAACTAATCATTTGATTCAGGTATGTTGACCAGGGTGATATCTGAAACCTGCAGGACACCGACACTTGAGGCCTGGAGTTCCCCACCCTTGCTTTAAAGCCATAACGTTGCTCATGGTGTCCCAGTGTTTACAGAAAAGTATTTTGCTGTCATGGCAACCTTTAAAAATGAATGCATAATGAATCTATAACTGGAACAAAACATACAGCTGTCTTTCTTGACAATTTTGCTAATGGAAAGTCCAGAGAATATGAATTCTTGAGTATTTAAAACTTCTTTTTCTCTTTTTCTTCTGCAGTGTGGCTGTCACCCGTTCCCAGGACGTTCCCTCCTTTGGCCCACCAATCCCGAAAGGCGTGACCTTTCCCAAGTCCTCCGTGTTCAGGGACTTCCTTTTGGCCAAAGTCATCAACGCTGAGAACGCAGCTCATAAGTCAAATAAATTTGGCGCCATGGCAACACGGACACGGCAGGAGTATCTGCGGGATTTGGCAGAGCGACACGTGACCAGTACATCAGTGGAACCCTCTGGGAAGTTCCCCTTCATCTCTCTGGCACACAAACGGCGGGAGAAGGTGCGTCCGTACAGCGGGGCGGAGCTACGGAGCCTCGGGGCTATAACCTGGCAGGTTCATGCCGAAGATCAAGTAGCCGGGGCTGAACGCGAGTGCCTGTTGGCCATTTCAAACGACTTCATCATCCTGCTGGATCAAGAGGCCAAAGCGGTCGTGTTTAACTGTGCCACACGCGATGTGATTGGCTGGTCAACCGGGAGCCCCGCCTCTATGAAGATCTACTATGAGCGCGGTGAGAGCGTATCGCTGCGCTCCATTAATAACAACACGGAGGACTTTGGAGAGGTTGTCAAAAGACTGGAGGTCAGTGGGGCACCGTTACCTTCTGTAGCCACACATGTCTATAGCATACACCATCTGCTGCAGATATCAGAGGCTGCAGGCCTTAAAAAGTGCACCTCTGACAAGCATCTTGTAATAAACACACACAGAGATGCTTTGAGCTGTGACTATCGTGAAAGCATTCTTACTTTTATATCAGCACATTTACTCTTTAGCTGGTTATCTTCTAGTGTCATCTAGTAAAAATCCAAATCACCCAGCTAACCAGTCCCAGTCTGTGAGTCACTGTGTATGTGAACAATAATGCAGCCAAAAAGTGCTTGGTGAAGTCTTTAAGTGTTAGGACACACTCTCCCTTTGTCCACTTCCCTGACAACAGTAGCTTGAAAAAAAATAACTATTGTTGATGATTACAGCAACATAAGGGCGTAGCCTGAAATTATGGACTCACCAGAAAGCCACAGATGCTGCACTGACCCTGTGATTAAAAGTCATGCCAAGCATAATGCATAGTAGTTTAATTCATATCATTACTGAGGCCTTCCTTGTGGTCTAGATAAAGCGGCACTTTTGATGGGATATTTCAATCATTCATCAGACACTGCAGTTCTGCTTAATGATAAAGTAAAAAAGGATTTCCTGCTGACAGTACAGGAAAGAGCTCTTTCTTCTTCATCTTCTTTTTTTAACATCCAAAACTCAGACCACTGTTTTCTACTTGGTGAACTCAATAAAGGCATATACAGGATCTGTAAAAGCCTATGGTGCTTTTTATCCAGATTCATCTGGATTGTTTTGACATTGCTCGTCCAGTTTTATAGAGATCACCTGCAGAATTTGCTCTCTTCTTTTGGAAATACTGAACAAATTAGCATTTTCCATGTGGTGCTCAAAGGGCCGAAAAATTGAAAAATTTGACAGACACCAATTTTAAGAAATTATAACCGGATTGCTCAAAAAATTATCTTCAACCCTTGGAGCCGTGGATCAGGCTAACTGTGCAGAAAAATGCATTATGACATGCGTGTTATGTTATTGACATATGTGCGTCAGCTTGTGACTAACAATACATTTCATCCACCCTTTTTTTTTCACCACCTTTCTGACTCAACCTTGATCTTTCACACCGTCTTTTCTCTAGTTGTTGACCAAGGGAAGCCAAACCACAGAGATGACCTTACGTCGTAACGCCCTGGGCCAGCTGGGCTTTCATGTCAACTTCGAGGGGATCGTAGCAGAGGTGGAGCCCTACGGCTATGCCTGGCAGGCTGGGCTCAGGCAGGGCAGCCGCTTAGTGGAGATTTGCAAGGTGTCCGTGGCCTCGCTGTCCCACGAGCAAATGATTGATCTTCTTAGAACCTCTGTCACTGTAAAGGTGGTCATCATTCCTCCACATGAAGACTCAACGCCACGCAGGTACTGTGGATATAAGTCACAAATGGATACAAGAGAGACTGTAGTTGATGTGTTGGTTTGTGGCTTTTGAAGCTATCCTTAAAGTATTCTGACTGCGATTGCTTCATGTGCCAACAGAGGCTGCTCAGAAATCTACCACATGCCACTTGTGGACTACAAGAACCACAAAGAGGGCATGCCCTATGAGTTAAAGTTTCCCTTTCGCTCCACAAACAACAACACCAAGTGGCCACGCACCTCATCCAGCCCTCAAACGCGTGCTGCTGGCATGGGAGGAACCCTCATCAAGGCCCCGCCCACAGACTTAAGTAATCCTGCTGCTATTCCCCGCAGTGTGTCTAGCGATGGTCGACCGCTCAACCCCAAAAGGTCACATAATAACGATAATGCTGTTATGAAACTTGCAGACATGCAGCGCTAACTTCTGTCTGGTTGTAACATATGTCTTTAATCGCATGCATATGTGTCCACAGATATTCCCCAGGGAATGACAACTATGCCCTTGCCTGCTCCATTGTGATGGGACGCACACTGCACAACACAAACTCCCCTTCCAGTCTCTCCTACACAGACACCATGGCCTCCACCCACTGGAGGCAAAAGTCTATGCCTGACGGGTGAGTTCATCGCTACAAATTATGCAGACTAAATTTCATAAATATATATTTTCTTAAAACTTGATGTGTGCTACACAGCAACATAGATAACATTTTTTATGTCTCTTCAGGTTTAATAACAACTGCCAGTCCCCCGTTTCATCTGTGCGCCATGTGGCAGGTGAGGGCGTCAATGGGATCAAAGTATCGTCGAGCTCAGGTGTTGGATGGTCACGACCTGGGGAGGGTGATCCCGCTAGCAGATCAGGGGACAAACCCAGCTCAGGTAGGCAGAACTCCCACCTCAGTGTTGGTAAATCAAAAAACATGTTTTGCATTATGGGCTCTAAATTTTCCGTACGTCTTAGACACCGTGGTTTCCAAGGTGGTGATTCCTCGACTTCAGCCGTCAGAGCAGAGCAGCCACGTGTCTCCTAACAAGAGCACCAAGGTGAGTGATAGCCAACACCACCACATGTAATTTCCTTCCTGAATTGATAAAGGAGGCCCTGTGCTAACAAGAGGTCTGCTGTTTAATGACAGTTAGCATCATATGACTGTGAGCTAAAGTTTGTGTGCCCACTAATTAAAATGTTTCCAACATTGGGGTAAATATGATCGCAGCATGAGGAGTTATGGGAGGTGATAAAAAACAAACAGTCTTTGGGGGAACGCTGCAGCAAAATGTCCTGTTTTTCTATCTAGAAACTGATCGCAGATTTCTCATCTGGTAACAGGCAGATGCTCCCTATTCATCCAGCCAGTCAAGCAGCAACACACTGTCAAGCAACGCCTCCAGCTCCACCCACAGCGACGAGAAGTGGTACGAAGTCGGCTCCCGTTCCGGAGTGCGGAGTGAACTGGATCTCAGTGGCTATCTTCAGGGTACCTCCAGCGACAGCGGCATTGACGCAACCTCCTTCACTGCCACGCAGAGCAGCACAGCTTCCTCCACTGGTGCCTTCATGGCCAAAGACAAAATCCCTTGGCAGGATGAGCCACCAGACGGCCAGACGGCCGCTGACACTTCACCTCCAACTCCAGACTGTCTTGTCATCTCTCAAGGCACCGAGATCCCAGGGAAGAGCCCCTTATCCTTGCCACTTGGTCCCGATAGCGGCTCCTATAGCCCAAGTGATGGCGCCGCCCACTCCAGGTGTGCTGCTGTTCTGTTAGAATTTAGCTACATAGGCAGTCTAGGAATCTGATCCTTTGCATCAGTGTTTCATTAAACAGACAGTGATTCATTGTAGTCCAGATATATCCTGCACTGTCCCGGCTGAAAAGAAGTCCAAAGCTCTGCGGTTTGGCACTAACAAAGGGGGAGCGGAAGAATGAAATATCTGTGTCTGTGGTTTTGCATTTGTATGTATCTCCGTCTCTGGGTATCCATGATAGAAAGGAAGTGCTTGAAGTTGCTAGAAATGCAGACTGTGAGCTCAGCACTGTTCCCCCCTCCTCTAAATCCCACTTCCTTTGAATCAACTAAAGCTTTACTGCCTCTCTTCTTCACTCAGCCAGAAATAACTCGGCTCCACCAGACCTGTACATTGGCAGCTTTGTTTTATAGTTCGTGCACAGACACAAAACTCGATGTTGGAAAATTCAAGCATTAATGTCAAACTCTGTAGGAATGCTATTTTAAAGAGCTGAAAATGAAGTGCAAGGACACGGTGTTCTTATTTAATATTTATGAATTCATCAGTTTATCCAGTCTGCAGAGATATCTGGATACATATATTGAAGGAACACCTTTACTAATGGGTTTTAAGGATGCCTGGCTCTTTGTTGTTTGTTCAGCTTTATTAAAGGTAACTAAGGTAATTTGATAGTTAAACATTAAGAAAAATAAAATATATCAGTGCAATGAAAATGCATCACTAATGCATTTTCTTTTCAATCAGTCTGCTCTCTGTGTTTGATACTGATGAAATTGTAAGGCTGTGTCACACTTTTCTGCCCTTGCTTTTTGTTTTGTCCCCAGCTCAGCCTCTTCTGGTCCATCAGGCTGCAGGCCCATGTCCCCCCAGGATGAGGCTGCTCCTGTGCCCACATCACCCACATCCTCAAACTCCCAGTCCCCAGGTTCCAAGAGCTTCTACCCTCGTCAAGGAGCCACCTCAAAGTATCTCATTGGCTGGAGGAAGCCTGGGGGAACTGTTAACTCGGTGGATTTTGGCAGCACTCGCAAGTAAGATGGAAATAATTATTTTACTAAACATCTGTTCAAAATTGTTTCTAAAGCACCATTGCATGCAGATAAAATATTATAACTTAGTGCAGAGTGGATCCTGCTGTCAATCATGTCGACATATTTTATCTTTGTCTCACTGAGTGGTCAGCTAATTTTAAAGGTGTTGTTTAAAAAGTTGGTCAGCAGCGCCACCGTGTGGTGAGTTTTTATTTTTTCCCACATCAATTCAACTCTATTCAGTTTTATTTATAGTTTTCTGAAGGTGCTTTGTATTGTACCCTGTAATATTGTAGATCAATATTCTTTGGTTTGTAGGAAGACAAAAAAAATTTCCACTCTTATTCTCACATATTGAATTTGGTCAGAAAGCCGATTCCTATCTTTTGTGTTGGTGGTAAATGTTTTCACACAAACCGGTTTTTCCTGGCGCAATAAATCAGTAATTTATTCGACTACAGATCACCAACACCTTGGTTTGGGAACAGTTACAGCTGCCATTCTGAGCATTTGAACTGGTTGCTGCTAATCACAGACATGCTTTGTCGTTTCTAGAGATTTCTGCCTGAATTCGTTTTTTTTTTTTTATGTTAATCTTCAGACGGCACCAGAGTGATGGTTTGCTGGGTGGTCAACCCCAGCTCAGGGCCAATCTCCGGGGCTCCCAGTCTCCCCAGCGGCACACTGCGAAGTCCAGCCTGGAGGAAGACTTAAAGAAGCTCATCACACTTGACAGCCCTCCACCCACTACAAATGAAGAGAAGGTACAGGGAGATGTTTTCGATAAGCTATTATATTACTTTGCCCACTCATGACTACATCTTCACTCTTTGAAAACAAGGCTCTTTGAGGGGAAAACAAAAATAACATAGACACCCAGGTTTGCTTCCTGACTGAGCCTTATTGGTCACAAAAAATTAGGCTAATGTATTTTAACTAATCTTTTACTATAACTAGAGCCGGACCGATTTATCAGCCGACTGATAACAGCAATTTGACGATCTGTCAGTATTAGCATTTATAGTGGTCAATACTGAAGAAACACCCTTTAACTGTGCTATCATACTTTGTCCACCAGATGGCACTCCGCAGCTGTTAGGAACACCACAAACAAAACAACATGCTGATCCAAGCAAAGTCGGGCAGCTCTTAAACGAGTAAATAAATAACTACACATAAGAAATGTTAAAGAAACATGTTTACATTTCCTGTGTCAAAGAAAAAAAAATCAGGTGATATAAGAGAAAATCAGCGTTTTGAATCAACCAAATATTGGTACAGTATCGGTATCAGTCAGGCTCTACTCTTTTCCCGCTACTGTAACTGTATGATTATGGATAATGCTCCTGGTACCACTCTAATAAACCACCACATTTGCTTTGATAACAAATTAAGGCTTGTTTTCTGTCTCTGTGTATACATTATGTTCATCTTGTGCTGCTTAAAATAGCAGTTTCACCTCATCATCAGTCCAAGTAAGGAAGTCTACATGCTCGTGGTCATGTAGTGTTTGTCATTTCACCAAGGACTGTTTTAAAACGAGGTGCCAGCAGTATTATGGTTGCATAGTAGCGAAGCTTCACAAGTCAAATGTAAGCACAATAGCATGTTAGATAACCTGGAAGTTGTAAGCAAAATATAAAATATCTGTTACATACTTTATGTCTGTGAAGATTCTCACAAACACAAAAAGTACTTTAGTTTAACAACAGCTAATGTAACCTGATATTGTAACTCTTCAGGGGCCGCACATGATAAAACTACCTGGGATATAACATATTGGGTCGAGGTTTTTAACCAGCTGTTTAAAGCCCTGCTAAAAAGTGTTTATTATTACTATCACGGACAATACGATATGGCACAACCCTAATAGAATATTAATAAAAACCCTTCAGTGTTTCCGTGCAAAGTTTTTCTTTTTCTCGCTTTTTACCTGAGTCTTCTCGTCTGCTTCCATCCCTTCGTGAAGCCGTTGTTTCCAGGCCCCCCACCCAGTCGACGTTCCCTTCAGAGAACCCTGTCTGATGAGAGCATTTACAGCGGGCAGAGGGAGCCGTCCTCTAGTGGACAGCGTGAAACGCCTACTGACCTTCTTTTCTCCTGTTCCACCATGCCACGTTCACCCACCGCCCGCCACGGACCGAGTCGGCGAGCATCGCACAAATCCCTCGGTAAACATCTAGTTTATGTGATTGAACTTGTAGTGGCTCCAAAGTGTAGTGGTTTACGCATCCGCATCAGGAATCGGGAAGAGTTTCCCACGTTAAAAAACCTTCTAACTCAAACATGGTTCGTTATGTGACCTCTTGTTCATAACGGAGCAGATGGACTACTGTGCAATAGTCTTGAGCCAACCCTTTCTTTTTGTTCCAAGGAGCCTGACTTTGTTGTAATTTTTTAAAGATGTCTTCAGCAAACCTGGATTGAAAAAGAATGTCCTCCCCAGAGCTCAACATTACGCAAGCAGTGTAGGATCATCCTGAGAGAGAACAGAACAGAAATGTAGCCGACATCTAAGGAAGAGCTTTTAATGTCCACCAAGAAGCCCGGAGAACTATTCCCGAGGGATACTTAAAGAAATGAGAGGAAAGCTTGTCTAAAAGAGTTGTGTTGAAGAATAAAAGTGGTCATGCGAAGTATTATTGGAACTTTAAGCTTGTTAGAATTGTACAAACTCTTTTTTTGCCTTTATGTTGTATTACCATGTACGTTTGCATACCTCTTTGCATCCATTTCCAGTTTTCCCAACAAAATCTAAAGATATGAGGGTGGCTAAAGATTTTTACACAATACTGTATATACAGTATGCGTAAATCTGCAGATAATGGAATAAAAGCTTAAACACACTAAGCACACTGCTACTGAAAAAGTCTTTTGGCCATGCCGTGCTAAAAGCGTTGACTATAAAGTTTCCCATCTTCAGCCCCCTAAAAACAGATACAAATCTCATTCATTGTGTTTGACTGTGTTCTTTTCCTTCCCAGGAGACCTGTCAGCCCCAGACAGTTCAGAGCTGGACCAAGAGAGGAAGAAACAACAGCTGCAAGAGCCTGTCCTCATGCCCCTGCCTGACACGGGGGCAGATGGCCCGCTTGACTGGGCCCACCTGGTAGATGCTGCCAAGGCCTTTGAGGGTAACCAGGCGTCATGTTTTCATTTCATCCTTAAAAACAAACCACAAACAAAAAGACATTTAAAGTGAAGGTTAAGTTAGTTTTGTAATAGAGAAATCCACCATCCATCTTAATTTTTATCAGAAGAGGGCACTGTTACACTGTATTTGTTCTCTGTTTAGGTCAGATAACATGACATTTGACTTTTTTTTTAATGCATCAGAGCAGAGGTTGGTTTTCCTAGCAGCCCAGGAGGAGAACTCCATGGCTGAGAGTGCAGCAGCAGCAGCAGCAGCCACCAGTCCCCAGCAGGCCGAGCCTCAGGCGGCTCCACTGAGACAGCCTTCGCCAGGGTGAGAGGTCTCAGGTCATGGCCTAGATCCAATGTTTGCTTTCATCCACTGGTTTTTCCAGAAGTGTGCCACCAAAAACACTGATTTTCCGCAAATCGCACACCACTGCATCACCGATGAATCCTGCCAGTAGTACAATAGTGTTTGTTGGGGATTGCTAAGCTACATGTACCATCACTGAGAAAGACTGGACTAAGAAACATTTACCCATCATTTAAGGTGAGATGTTGGTCCCAGCTAATGTCAAGCTTTTTCCTCTCACAGAGAGACTCCAGCTTGTTTGATGGGGAAAGTGAGCCAGCTAGAATCCATGGTGAAGGCACTACAGGAGGACCTAAAGAAGGTGATTTGTGATGCTAGATTGATCCTGTTCCTCTTCGGCACAGCCTCAAACATAGATGCAAAATCTAAGTATGAACCTGCCTTTTGTAACCATTAGGAGAAGGATGCCAAGGCATCACTACAAGCTCAAATTGAGGGCCTGCGAGAGGACAACCAGCGTCTCCTCGAGGAGTCCTACAGCGCCTCCGCCAAGCTGAAGAAGTTTACAGAGTGGGTCTTTAACACCATCGACATGAACTGATGCACGCTGCTGCTGACCTGCTCTCCACTGGGAGAATAACCACTACTCAAGCTGATTTCAAACTCTTCAGTAATGTTCGGTGCACAACAGAATCACATAAAAAAAACAAAACAGTGTCGCTCTTGTACTGTTACAAACTAGTGCCAACATGGATGTAAACATCATCCTTCCTCAGCCTCATGGATCTGTGTGAACAGTGACCACAAAAGACAAAGGAGAATCCAGGGTGACAGACAAAAAAGAGCAGCGGCGTATCTGTGTGTCAGTTTTCATCGGCATGCTCTCCCTTACTTAGGAGCTCATAAAATATAATGTTTTTGTTTCCCCCCCTTGAATGGACTGTTGGTATTCCTGCATGTCAGAGAAAGCGAGAGCACGATTTCAAAGCTAACCAAACCTAAAGGGATTTAAAGTCACTGTTTAGCTCCCCAGCTGTAACCTAATTTTAAGTGAACGGATTTCCAATTAAACAAAAAACTCTAACACAAATTAAAATTTCTTCAAGAGTTGCTGAATATAGTCCCTGATCTTAATCGACAGGTGTGCTGTAAATGTGCTGCCGTTAAGACATTCTCCAGTTTTCCTAGTTCACAGATAACAACACTGATCTGATTATTTTTGTATTACTAACAAAGAGAAAAAAGGTGAAGTAAATACTATAAGAGAGGATGGGAGTTGCATTTTTGATGGTTAGTGTTGGTAGGTAGGCACAGATAGACAGACAGACCCTTTGCATAGCACATACTGTAAACACTGTAAGGTCGAGTGCCTGTCTGTATCGCTTATGTAAAAGACTGTGCAAGTGTAGCGAGGGTTATTGCAAGTAAAACTTGTATAGGACTACTGGTCACATGAAAAGATATAAAAATATATATATTACAAACACAATATGGGTGCCATAAAGATAGAAATCGACAATTCAGTGTCACTTATTCAGATTATTGTAAATATGTGATGTTCACATTATTTTTCTCATGCCTTCCCTTGATATAATAATGTAAAGAGTATTTATGTCAAAGATGATGGCCAAGAAAAGCAAAACAGCCATATGCAGTTAGATATGTACAGTATATACAAGTAATGGTTTCCTACGTGACAAGATGTATCCTTTGACTCAAACGTTTCCAGCAGGAGCCGGGTAACTTTTGATCCAGAGTACAGTGCTAGAGAACATATTGATATTTTTAATCCTGAAAACGTTTGCCTGCTGCAGTGGATTGATTTGAGAGCGCCACTTGGTGTTGACAAGATGTAAAATACTACTACAGTGAGCTCACATCCTTTTCCTCCCATAGCACGCTAAAATGCCTCAATCTGATCCCTAAAACTTTGGATGGAGTCAGTTGGTGCTGTTATATTATTGCAGATAAGATGCTGTGTAAATCCTGAAATCCCAGCTACAGTTTTCTGTACTTCTGTAAATCTGCGCGAAAGCCCACACAGAATCTGATCTGCAGATGACCGAGCTCAGTCCTTATTTAAGCCTCATACTTTAACTATTTCCTTTTGTACCCTGATGCTGTGCAACTGTATATAAGGAGAGTTTAATATTCATCAAAATCGCACCTTCGTTCTTATTTTTTACAGTTATTTTTGATGTCTTTCTGCTTTACTTGCTAGTGCAGAGTGGAACCACAAGCCGGACTCAGACAAAATGAGTCGTAGGCCCATACGGTAGCAGATTGCCCCTATGCCTTCATTCTTAACATGTGTGTCAGCATGTGATTCTGTTTCCATTGAGCTGTGATGTGTAAAAACAAACACACAAAAAAAGTTTATATCTATTAAAGATATTTTGTTCAATTACACTTTGTCTTGCTGAGTGGTCTGTACTAATGTACTGCGATTTAGACATGCCATTCATCAACAAGAGCAAAATAGGAAACTAGCACAACTGCTGGGGGTTATATGAGGTGGCTTTGAGTAAATGGATACCTGTTGGCGGCCTTGTGGCTGCCCGCTGTTGCATTGTGATTAACAGAGAGGTGCTGTTTTTCCACTCAAGCTTGATTACATGAGGCGGTTGTCCAGACACATTCAGGGCTGCGTGGGACAGATTGATTGATCAGGAGAGAAGGCAGGGCGGAGACGTGGACCGTTATACATCCAGCAGGTGATTGGTGTGATTTAGGTCTGTTTGAATTTTTATTCATTCAAATAGCAGTTATTGTATCAAACCTGCTATTATTAAAATGACCTTCTGAGTTCATGCCATAACTGAAGATGTAATCTACAGTGGGGCAAAAAAGTATTCAGTCATCCACCGATTGTGCAAGTTCCCCCACTTAAAATGATGACAGAGGTCAGTAATTTGCACCAGAGGTAC